GAAGATATACCGTGCAGAAATTCACACAAGTGTAATTGTTGGTTCATTATTCAACAACCAACTACATAGTGGATTTTGAGGACGTAGAAGGATTACCCCACCTTCGAACCTCGTTAAAGTTTGCGTGTCTCTCTCTTTTATCTTTATTCTTACTTGCAATTATATTAACTGTGAAAACTAACCCATCCATATTGATTACTGCTCACTCTACCCACCAAATTCCGCACACAATCTAAAGTTCACAAGGACTCTAGATTAACACTCATTTTCACGTTTTCAAAAGAAACGAAAAAAATTTTAAATCTGTAACAAAGTCTATTCACCCCCCCTCTAGACTTTGTATTTCACCACTTTGGGACCACCAATTGGTATCAGAGCAAACTTCTCACTATCTACGTTTAGATTAACGAGAAGCGATCACAATGGTGAACAATATGGATCACGGTTTGCCCAAGTTTTCTCTTCTAGGTTATGATGATTGGAAGATCATGATGGAAGCACAGCTCTACGCTCTACATGACTGCATGTGGATGGTGCTTGAGGATGGACCATTGAAAATCCAAATGGAGAATCCTGAGAGGAATCCAGCAACTCCAGATGTAGTCCAGTACATTCCAAAGCCCAAGGAAAAATGGGATGATAGAGATAGCAAAAACCACAATCTGGACAACGTCGCCAAAGCAGCCATCTTCAAGACACTTGATCCCATCACCTTCTCCAAAATCAAGCATCTCAAGACTACCATGGAGATATGGCAAGGTCTTGGGAAGCTATGTGAGGGATCAGAGGACTTGAGAAAGTAGAAGATAGAAGTCCTGCTTGAGAAGTTCAAAAGCTTCAAAATGCTTCCCGGAGAATCATTTGATATGTTGGATGAAAGGTTCCACAAAATCTTGAATGATCTTGCCTCACTTAACCACGTTCTTTCTCCCAAAGAAAAGAATGTAAGGTTACTGAGATCACTTCCAACCGAGTGGTATACCAAAGCCACAGCCATAGAAGAAGGAAGAAACCTGGAAAACTACACTGTCCAAGGTCTCCTTGATGAGCTCAGAACCTATGAGCACGAGCTGAAGAAGAAGAAGGAAGAACAAGTCACTCCCTTTCCCACGGCACTGATGACAACTCCAAAAGTCCCATCAAGTGAAGGGACATGCCCAAGGAATTGTGACACACCCTCCTCCAGCCAGCCGTCAAGCTCAAAAATGGAGAACTACGATGAGGAATTTGCCATGATGGTCAAGCAATTCCGGAAGTTCAAGAAGTTCTCCAAGAAGGCTGACTCAGTTAGAAGGCCGTCCAAGGGAAAGCCACAGGTAAGTGACTCTCCTCCTGAATCTTACTTATGCTATAACTGCAGGAAGCCTGGCCACTGGAAGTCAGCATGCCCGTACCCAAAGGTGGAGAAGTACGGAGAAAGAGAAAGGAACGAGAAGAAAAAGAAGGCAATGGTTGCTGCTGAAAGTGACGAGTCATCCAGCTCAAGCTCGGATGAAGAAGCCCTCGTCTGCATGGAGCGCAGAGCTGAAAAGTCCAACCATGAGGATAGGTGGACTATGTCAGAAGATGACACTCTCTGCCTAATGGCCAAAGATGATGCTGATCAAGAGGTAACCTCACAAACCTCCTGCTCATCTTCTTATGAAAGCATACCAACTTCTGAAAATCTTTTTGACCAGTTCAAAAAGATGATGGAAGATTTTGAGGAAATAAATCTCAAACATTCATCCTTAACAGAAGAGAACAAGTTGTTAAGTGAAGAGAATCTCAAGTTGACTGAAGGTCGGAAAAATCAACTAAATGAGATCACTCAACTTAAAGCTGAAAATGAATCTCTCTCTGAAAAGGTGAAATCCCTTAATAAAGAGCTAGGGATACTTAAGTCCAAAGAAGCAGTGGACAAGCTTCTTGAAATGACCAAACATAAGGGTCGTGAAGGACTTGGGTTTGACCCCTCCAGTTCCAAAAGGAAAGGGAGAACAACTTTCATCCCTCCTAAACCTACTGCCAAACCAAATAAGCAGAAAGGAAAGGAAAAGGAGAAACCAACAGAAGTTCCCAAAAAGGTAGTCCCTCCTAAGAACTATAGGAAGCTGGACAGACCTCAAAGAGGAAATAACTTCAGAAGAAAACCCTCTAACCCCTACTATACACCAGGCTATACTCATTATGGGGTAGACAGGAGTTTTCCAAGAAATTCTGAGTGGAGAACTATGCCAAGATATAGTCACCCTCCACCCCAGAAGCTATTTGTGCCACCTAAGTATGCTTATAACCGACACAGGACACACCATGCACAACCTAGACAAAACTATAGGTCTTATCAACCTAGGTTTGCTAGGAGGAAACAGGAAATAGCACCTCCTGCACGTAGGAAGTTTTATGCCTATAACTATGATTACAATCCCAACAAGTTTAGAGCTGCAAGGAAAATTCCCTGCAACTTCAAACTTGATGTAGGGACACACACCATTAACTACTCCGGACCCAAACTTAATTAGGTACCAAAATCTTCCTCCTCCCAATGCAGGAAGCCGCTAAGTACCCAGGTGTCTGGTACTTAGACAGTGGCTGTTCAAGACACATGACGGGTGATGCGAGCCTTTTGAGCAATCTAATTCCCTATGATGGTCCAAGAGTTACTTTTGCAGGAAGAAATGATTTCGGCCTTACTAAAGGGCTAGGAAATCTGGTGTACAAGGGACTAACCATCCAAGCTGTATCTTATGTTGAAGGTCTCAACTCTAACCTTCTTAGCATAAGTCAGTTTTGTGATAAAGGTTACTCCTTGGAATTCTGCAAGGACATGGCATCCCTCAAGAACATCTCCACAAATGAAGTCATTCTCACTGGGAAGAGAATCAGAAACATCTATGAAGTAATGTGGGACAATGTCAAGGAAGCATGTCTAATCAGCAAAAGTGACACTAACCTTCTATGGCTTTGGCATAAGAGGTTGAGTCATCTCAACTTCAAAACCCTCAACAAGCTGTCCAAAGAAGGGCTAGTAGAAGGTCTTCCCAAAGCTGTATTCAGGAAGGAAAGCATTTGTGATGCTTGCCAGAAAAGAAAGCAAGTCAAGTCCACTTTCAAGGCAAAATCGGCACCCTCAACTACAAGGATATTAAGTCTTATTCACATGGACTTATTTGGCCCTGTCACACCAATAAGTCTAAGTGGAAAGAAATATGTCCTGGTGGTAGTTGATGATTACTCAAGATACACGTGGACAATCTTCCTCAACGGCAAGAAGGAGACTCAAGGGAAACTCACCAACTACATGAAGCTGATTCAAAACCAAGCAAGTCAGACCATTCAGAAGATCAGATCTGACAAAGGCACAGAATTTCTGAACGAAATCATCATTCACTACTGTGAAGAAAACGGAATTCTTCATCAGACATCCGCAGCAAGGACACCTCAACAGAATGGTGTAGCTGAAAGAAGGAACAGAACCCTGAAGGAAGCAGTGAGAACCATGCTAGCAGAAGCTTCCTTACCAAAGAGGTTCTGGGCTGAAGCTGTTAACACAGCTTGCTATACTCAAAATAGGAGTATGATTTATAAAAGGCACAACAAAACTCCCTATGAACTGTGGAACGGGAGAAAGCCTAATATATCATATTTCCATATTTTTGGGAGCAAGTGCTTTGTGTTAAACAACGGGAAGAATCATCTGAACACTTTTGATGAGAAATCAGATGAGGCCATCTTCCTAGGATATTCCATGGT